CACTCTTTCTGATATTCTTTTCCATCGTGGTTTATCATAGCATACTGAATATAGCTCTCTGTGCTACACAGTAGGACCTTGTTGTTTACCCATTCCATATCTAATAGCTTACATCTGCTGGTAGAAGGCTCTTAAGCAGGGCAATGACACAATCAGATCTAGATGTTTAAAGATTGCCTTTACAGCACCATGAAGTGAAGATTGGATGGAGGTACCTAGTGGGAACTCAGAGGCAATTAAAACCAGCTGGCACACCAGGGACAGTGGCTCTGGAAATAGAGGGAAGAGATTGAAGGAATCTTTCTCAAGGTAGAATTGACACGCTGGTGACAGATCGAATGTAGTGATGAGAAAGTGGGAGGAATCAAAGAAAACGGATGTGTTTAATTCGGGGAACTACGTGAAAAGTTCTGCCTGTCACCAAGGCCTGGAAGACAGTCTGGCCGAGTTATGAGGAAGATGAGCTTCTGAGCTGGATGGACCTAAATTCAAGTCCTTGAATCACCTTCTCCAGCCTGAGTGTTCTCGGGGAAGTTAGTTAACAATTCTGGTCTTCTATTTCTATGTATATAAAATGAGAAAAATAGTAACGTGGAATTGTTGTGAGGATGAGATGCAATAATTCATGGAAAGGACATATTAGTACAGGGTCTGGTGTCCTGCTCAATATGAATTAGCTGTAAAAAGACAAAAAGGAACAGATTGGGGTCAGGAAAAGAGACCCTGAATTCTGTTTCTTATGAGTTTAATTTGTAGTACTTATGGGAAGTGGACAGATAGCCAGTAGGGGTTTGGAAGTGTAAGAAAAGAGTTCAGGAGTTAGGAAGGATCTGGATATTGATTTGGAAGCCGGTATGAGATGTAGTAGAGGTCTTTGGAATAAAGGAGGAAAACAAGTGGATGAGCAGAAAGGAGAGTTAAGAAAGGGATTTAGGAGGTTAAACAGCAGCTCCAGTAATAATTATCCCTAATAGTAATGAGCACTATGGACCAGCATCATTGCAACAAATCCATTACGTAATGTCATCACTTGTCTCCAAAGTCTATGAGGGAGTATCAGTTGTGTGTGTGCGTGTGTGTGTTAGGAACACAATGTAAGATTTACCTTCTTAGCGAAGTTCTAAGTATACAACACAGAATTATTACCTATAGCCACTGTGCTGTACAGACCTCTAGGAGTCGTTCATCTTGTGGAACTGAAATTTGGACTACTGAAATCATGCAGCGTTTCTCCCGCTGTGTCTGGCTTATTTCACGTAGCACAATGTGCTTCAGGTTCATCCATGTTGGTGAGGATGTGGAAAAAAAGGAACCCTTGTGCACTGCTGGAGGGAATGTAAATTAGTACAGTCGCTATGGAAAACAGTAGGGAGGCTCCTAAAAAAATTAAAAATAGAACTACCATGTGATCCAGCAATCCCACTTCTGGATATATATTCACAGGAATTGAAATCAGGATCTCAAAGTGTTACAGCATTCCATATTCATTGCAGCATTACTCACAATAGCAAAGATATGGCAACAATCTAAATGTCCATCAGCAGATAAATGGGCAAAGAAAATGTGGCATATACATACAGTGGAATGTTATTCAGCCTTATAAAAGAAGGAAATCCTGCCATTTGCAACAACATGGAGAGAGTATTATAATTATCCCCGTTTTACTGAGGGGAAAACTAAGGCAGATTAGATCCTTTTCATGGGGCCGTGCTAGTAAGTAGCATAGGCTGGCCTCAAACCGAGGAATCTTGAGTATGTGCTCACTGTGCTACACCGAGGACAGGCACCGTGGGGAAAGTTTCTCAGGCAGAGGACCAGAACAGCATGATGCCATGAAAGAAGAGCATATAAAGAAATGACTAAGGGTGTGCCGCTTGATAAAAAGGTCAAGTGTCCTGCAGCCTTAAAGAAGTCTCTGGTAACAAAGTTATGCACGGCATCTTCAATCAGAAGGCAACTAGAATGCAGCAGAAAATAACACAACAATGTAAAGAAATTATATTCCAATGAAGATGTTAAAAAAAAAAAAAAAGGCAACTAGAGGTGATCCTGCCAACTTTTGGCATCCCGGACAGATTGTGGCACGGATACCTACAGTGAGAAGGAGCCCTCCTTACTTTTTAATTGAGATAATTCATACCATAAAGTTTACCGTATTAACATGTACAATTCAGTGATTGTTTTAGTATATTCACAAAGTAGGTTATGAAACCATGACCACTTTCTAATTCCAGAACATTTGCATCACACCAAAGAGAAACACCATACTCATTATCAGTCGTGCCCCATTTCCTGTCCCCCTACCCATTAGTAGACCATTAGCCTACTTCCTGTCTGCATGGATTTGCCTATTTTGGACTCATGACTTTTTCTTTTTCTGGAGGAAAAATTAAACCTTATTTATTTTTAAAAACCAGAAACACTAGGAAAATATATCACAGCCCTGAAACAGCAAAGAGACAGGCTATATTAGCATTTCAAGTAATTAAGTCGGTAAAAAGACAACAAGGTCCTAATCAAAACGATAAGGTGCCAGAGCAGGGGCAGGAACACTGCGTGTTGCGACGGTCCTGGCAAAAGTGGTGTTTGGTAATGGTTGGGGGCCTGCCCTTCTTTTGCCCTAAAGGAATCACAGCTCAGCCCTGAGTTGCTTACTTTTTCTTCCGTGACCTTCGTGTTGCCAAGGGATTGTCTCAATAGCGTTCTGTTATTTCAGGGGGCAAAGTCAGCAATATTGGGGCTCAGGCTTTCACTCCATTCTGTTTTATAAAAACCAGGTTTTTCCAAATCCAATACTTCATGACTCTCCTAATTTCACCGTTCTTTCCTGTATACTAGTATATACAACACAATCAAAACCCCCTTGCCTTTTAAGGGTGGGCTGCGTCTTCCTCTCATTGGTAGCACTGCTGCAGTAGTGGCTTGCTTCTGCTGACCTATCTTATGCACCATCTCTTGGTCCTAGGCTGACTTTCTGGAACACATGGGGCAAGTCTCTTCTTGGTTCTAAAGCAACGTTTTCCCAAAGGGTGGGTGAGGCGGCAGACGCCTCTAGGACACGACCGTAGTGAATGCTGAATCTCTCAGTGAGACGGAAGCTCTGACTCCTCTTCTAGATCTCACCATTTTTCTCATAAAACCAAGGAGAAGGGCTCAGATGAGAGCCTCAGTTGCTTTAAGACTCTTGAACACTCACTACTCTCTCTTTTAACAAAGAACAGACTCAGAGCTCTCCCCTACAAAAGTATTTAGTGCAAATTAAATAAGGTCTCATTTACACTGTATTTGTTTTTTGTTTTTGTTGTTTTTTGCGGTACGCGGGCCTCTCACCGCTGCGGCCTCTCCCGTTGCGGAGCACAGGCTCTAGACGCACAGGCCCAGCGGCCACGGCTCACGGGCCCAGCCGCTCCACGGCATGTGGGACCCTCCCAGACCGGGGCACGAACCCGTGTCCCCTGCAGCGGCAGGCAGACTCCCAACCACTGTGCCACCAGGGAAGCCCCTGTATTTGTTTTTATATTTACTTTTTCTTTAGGATATTTAAATGATTGATACAAAGTTTCCTTTAAAGTAAAAGACTGAAGTGAAACAATTTAAGAAAATATGAAATGGCTAGGAGTTAAGAAGGCTCCGGGTGGTGGCAAAAATCAGGAAAATGATGCTTGGATACCTAAAGTTTGGGAATCACTGTTTTAAAGGCAGAGTTTCACATATTTGTAAATTAACATCTTGTTTTCCCATAGTTGCCTCTTCAAAATATGTCCAAACAACCTTAAAGCAATTGGACCACAGCAGCACCACATGTGCATGAGGTATCTTGTTAAAATTCTCATGGTTTCCAAATATCTTCTAAATATAACAAATCAAACCACCCCCCTCCAAATCAGTAATTAGTCAACCCCGAGTGCGCACACACAGGATTTTGAAAGCTCTCATTTCTGCTGTCAATTGTAATCAAATCTTCCCCAGACTTCTTATTTTCCGGATTTACCCAAAGCCCTGTGACTTTTATCAGCAATTTATTTTTCTCTGGAAACATCGCCGAGTTAGAAGACTAGAGAAGAATTCAAAATTAAATTGTTTTGCTGTTTTCTCTCTGGGCCATGGATGCAATCAAAACTTACTTCCTCTGATTTCCTTTTGCTTCATTTTTCAGGCTAAAAATGTTTTTTTTGTTGTTGTTGCCTATTTTGTTTATCCTTAGCTCACCTCTTCCACAGCTGTGTCGAGATACCTTTCCTCATTAGCTGCAATTCATTCTTCAGCCATGGCATTCTGTGGCTCCCCAGACCCAATACTGCAATTTGGGATGCATCCCCAGAGCCCGTGAGTCATATTGATAGAGGATCTAGGATTCGTGCAGGGAGGAAGAATCAGGACTTCCTGCTCTATTTCTGCCAGTCCCAAGAAAGAAAGACAAGATGACCTCAGACAAGGCACTCTTGCCTGAGGTCTGCGATTTTCTCTTGATCTAGCGCCTCTTCCGTAAATATCTTTAATGGCAACATCTGTATGTCATTTTGTGTCTCCCTCTATAGCAAACAAATGCCCATTCTACATTGCAAGGATAGGGAATGTGCTCGGGAGAAATGGATTCCTCCTTTTAAAACAGGAGTCAACTACCCTGCATTTAAATAAATCAGGAGGAACAGAATGAAGTTAATATCTTCAAATATAATACCAAAGAACTATTTACTGAAATGTTTTCTGCATTATAATTCTTTCATTTATTATTAAGGTTAGAGGGAAAAAAATGTCAGTGAGGGGAAGCGTGAATTGGGGGCAAACCGTGTCCTTTCAGAGATGAAAATTCCTTGATCATTTTTTGTTACGATTCTTTTGTGGTTTCTCTTTTTAATGTCAACTCTTCTTGCAGAAAATTCTGTGTAATATTTCCAGTATTCTACATGAGATACATTTTTCTTTCATCTCACTCTCAGTGGCAAAGCATAAGTTCAACAGAGCAGCCTTGGATGACAGCACAGGAATATTTTTACTGTTCTCACATCCTCAACCATATCTCCCCAGATCTTAGTTCAGTGCCATTCATGAATATATAATCAGCCATGAAAGTTACCAGTTCCTTCTCGCCTCCATGTTAATTTGACCACGTAGCTTCCTCTCTTTTTTAAAAACAGCTTTATTGAGGTATGATTGATATATGCAGATGTACTTATTTAATGTGTACACTTTGATGAGTTTGGACATTTGCAAACCCCCTGATACCATCACCAGAGTCAAGGCAACAGACATCCAACACCTCCCAGAGTTTCCTTGTGTCCCTTTGTGGAGTCTTTTGTTTCTGCGGGGGTTTTGGGGGGAGTCTGTTTTTTGTACTAAGAACAAAAAGCGAGATCTCCCTTCTCAACACATTTTGAAGTGCATAAAATACCTCATTGACACCTATAGCCACTATGTTCAGCAGACCTCTAGAACTTATTCATCTAGCATCACTGAAACCTTATAACTGTCGAACAACTCCCCATAGCCCCCTCCCCCCAGCTCCTGGCAGCCAGCATTTTATTCTCTGCTTTTCTGATTTTGACTATTTTAGATACCACGTGTGTAAGTGGAATCATGCGGTATTTGTCTCTCTATGACTGGCTTATTTCACTTAGCATAATGTCCTCCTGGTTCATCCACGATGTTACAAATGGCAGGATTTTCTTTACTCATTTGCCTATTGGTGAATACTCGGGTTGTTTCCATAACTTGGCTGTTGTGAATAGTGCTGCAATGAACAAGGTCCAGGACCTCCTCTGCAACTTGATCATTACTGGACGCTCTGCATGTTTCACTTTCTACTGTTTCCTTTTTCTATGGCAACAAGCAGGGATGCTTCTGCAGATTGCTCTGTCAAGCAGCAGCAAGTTGTGGGTGGGAGGGTGGGAGGCAACCTGCAGGGTTGGCAGGAATTCCCGTGTCCAGAAGCATCAGTTCATTAGCTCAGTATCCAGGCCTGTCTTGTGCATTATAGGATGTTTCACAACATCCCTGGGTTTTATTTCCTTAGATACCAGTGACATCCCATACCTTCTCCCCTGCTCAAGTTGTGACAACCCAAAATGACTCCAGATATTGTCAAATGTCCCCTGGGGAGAGAAATTACTTCTGGTTAAGAAGCACTGTTATATGAGGACCCCAAGTGTCTCTTGGAGTTCCACAGTCATTCCCAGCTTCCAAAACGGGGAGGGGCCTCTCTCCCATCTCTCACTGCTGAGTGCGCACTTCAACACACCAGGTACCTCCTGTTACACTCATGCTCCAAGTTGCCCTCAGGATAAATCTTAGCTCCTGAGTGAGTGTGACCCATGAGGCCCTTCGTGATTTGACCCCCTCTTAGCAGTCCACAGAACCATCTTTAAAAACTCATTAAATTGGTGTACTTTGTGAATAATTAAAGTCACAGGACCACTTTAAGCAGCTAATTTCAGTTTCACTCTTCAATGTTATATCACTGGTGAGGAAAATTCACACGCTCCAAAAAACTTAGGCAATTTTTGGCATTACTAGATTGGGTTACTTTTTGTCCAAATTGGTAATGGACTCTGGTTTATTCCTATCTTCCTCTCCCTCCCCCCTCTCACCTCCCCCCTTCCCCCTCTCCCCTCCCCCTCTCCCTCCTTCTCCTCTCTGGCCTGCCCTCCTCCTGCTGTCTCTCTGGAAGCACTCCTACTCATCCTTCAAGTTTCCACTTCAGCACTCACACACTCCCTCCTAGGCTCCATCTGGACACCTTCTGCCAGGCTTCCACATAGCAATGACCTCGTTGCCTCTTAGCTGTGGGCTTGTGTGCCTGCCCCTCTCCAACTGTGAGGGGGGCACAGCAGTATCTACTTTGGCTTCCGACTCCCAGCCTCTTGAGCTGTGTCCTGTGTGCAGTTATACAATAATTCTGCATTGAATGAATCAACGGATCCGCCCGCCCCGGGGCTCATGAAGCTTTTGCCTTCCCCTCTACCCTGGTTCCCCTTCCGGAACTCTGGCTTGGCATCTTCTCTGGGGCTGTCACCTGTGGGCTGCCTTAGTCACTTTATGATCCAGACATGCCATGAAAATAGAGGTTAGGAAAAAAATATCTCTGCTCGTTCAGTTCCAATTCTCTGTCCTTCTTGAGACTATTGTTATGATCATTAGTCACCGAAAACACACACACACACAAACACACACAAGCACTGATCCCTTCTGCTCTTCCAGGAGGTGGTTTGGACTGTTCACTGATGGATAACTGGGAGTCGGAGAAGCTAAATTCAGAGTCTGTGAAAACCTCCTTTTCCAGCCATGTCACCTCTCGGAGTCCCAGAGAAAACTCCCACAACCTGCCTCCTCGGTCCCAGTTCACAGCTTCTGAACCTTTCCAGGAAAACATTTTGGATCATCCAAGTGAGTTTTGGTTTGTTTTTTTTTAACCTTTGCCACACCCAAATAATTCTTCCTTTCAGGGTCCAGAGATGACTAATGTCCCCTTAGGCGCTGGTATCAGCCTGTGCCCATGTGATGCATTCGCAGAGAAGGTGATTGATTTGGAGGTGTCATCTTTGAGGCACCAGAAGGACTGGATTTGCAGTGTTATTTATTTTTTAAAAACCCTGAAGACATTTGGCAAAATGTTAAGCTTGGCTAAAGCGGAGTCGTGCGTACACAGGTGTACACTGTTATCATCTTTATACTTAGCTGTGCATTTGACATACTCTATAAGAAGAAAATGAAGGGAAGAAAGAAAAGAACGTCCTTTCATGCTATGTCCCCAGCAAGGAAAGTCAAAAGATATCAAGGCATTGTTATTTCCTGTCAGTAGTAAATCTGAAATAAATTCAGCAAGCATCTCCCTTAATCTCTAGCTTGCTAATATCAGATTAATCATGTTTGCACACAGTGTCGCCTCAAGGCTCTATCTTCAGCTTGCCAAGGTTCAAAGCCCAGTGCCCATTTGTTGGCTGGAACTCAGAAGCAGTTTACCCAACCCTCCAAAATTTCACGTTTTCATCTGTAAATGGAGATAACCATAGTGCTTACCTTGTAAATGACTAAAATAATCCGTGTCAAGCATTTAGCATCGTGTATACTAAGCACTTCAAAAATGTGACGTTATGATTACATAAGATTGAGGTTAAGCAGAAAAATAATATCTTCTCTTTGTTTGCCTTCCCCAAATCATGAATATTTATTTCACTGACCACTTCTACTCCCAAACACCAATATGCTCTGCTTTATTTTGTTCCCAGTGCAGCTATTAGGTAAGTGTTGAGGGTTTTTTAGTTCCCTTTCAAGGTGTTGGGATGACAGAGAAAGCAGTGTTTATTTTTTAGACGGTTTCCCGGTGATCAACACCTACTAAGGCTTCACAGCCACCTCCTCCAGGGAGTCCACCCTGTTTTCTGAGGAAGAGGTGTCAAGTGACCCCTTTTTGTGTTCCTCCATACCCATTTCCTGCACTGCTCTTGCATGTTTACTTTTGTATCTCACCCATCATGCTGTGAGCTCCTTCAGGATGGGCACCATATCTTAGGCATCTGTAGATTTAAAACTTACCCAGGTAGTGCTTGGCACAGAGCAGGGGCTCCATGACTGTGGTGGACCAGTTAAGTGTGCTATCTCCATTTTACAGATAAGAATACTCAAGTTCTGACAGGTCAAGTAAGCCTCTGTACATGTTCTTTGTTGTATCTAGAATGTCTCCCACGGGCTATACCTGGAAGACCCCTACTCTTTCTTCAAGGTACAGTTCAGAGGAGACCGCTTCTGTGGGGTCTTCTCTGCCCCATGCTGGGGCGTTGAGGTAACACTTGGCTTCCCTGAGATGCCATAGCACCCAGCACCGTGTATCTCTCTCTCTATTGACGCCATCTTCCTTTGCCTCACCTGTCTATGAAGCCCTGAGTGGACAAGGTCTCCATCTGATTCTATTTTATCTCCTTCGCATGTAGGTTTTGAGTGTGCAGGCTGTTTCAGGTGATGGTTCAGATGCTAGGGATATAGGTGTGCATGACATCATCTTTATCACTCAGGGCTTTTTGAGTTCCAGCAGATGGCAATCCAACTCAAAATGGATTAATCAATCATTGAATGTATTGCTTCATATTATTAAAAATTCCAGGCAAACATTTCAAGTTTCTGTCAGTCTCTACAAGTCTCTTCTCTTCTGTGTCAGCTTCACTCTTTAAAATGCTACTTACTACTCCATGGTAGTACCTGCTGGCTCTGTACCTACAACTTTCCAAGTTCAAGGCCAGCAGAAGGAGATTATTGGCTTCTCAAGTTAGGGCCAAAGGGCAGGCTTCCTTGGTTCTGGAAGTGTCCCATTTACATGGCAAAACCAATCCCTCTGTCAATAAATATGTAAAGCTCCAAATGGCTTGGAGTGGATCAAAGACTGGGAGGGAAATCAGTCTGTCCATGGGTACCACGTACTAGGAGAAGGGGAGAGGGGGCTTCCCAAGGAAGATATGGGCACTGCCACTGAAGAGCAGCAAATAGATGCTGGCTATTCTCAGTAGTCTGGTGGGGAATCATAGAGAAAGAAAACAGCAATTTTAATTCAGTGTGAAAAGGTTGTTGATGGAGACAGGCATAGGGTATAATGGGATTATAAAGAGGGAGAAGCTAAGGGCCAAGGGGGAGTTGAAGGCATCCAGGAAGGCTTCTTGAAGGAGGTTACACGTGAACTAAGCCAAAATCAATGCTAAGTGAGCGGCTACTGATGGAATGAATCAATGAACACCTTGTCCACAATCACACAATGCATTTCTTTATAGAACTTGAATTTAAACCCAATTTTCCTTCAGTATTCAAGTCTAGTGACCTTTGCAGTCAAGCTAGACTTATTTCTGTGAGAAAATGGGTTTCAAATTCTACTTGAAATCAGAGGAAGCTAAGAATAGAAACACACTTTAGAAGGATGGTTGAGTGTTCAACTGAACCCACAATAACTTATTTAAATCACAGTATACATGAAATACTGTACATTTGCAGTGATGTCATTCACAACTGCTATATTTTGCATTGCCAGTCTCCAGTGCTCTGCCCGCATTATGGACTAAGTAGGTTTTTGTTAGCTGACTCGATCTCCATTCAGAGCACAAATGGCAAAAATAAACACGTTCATAGCTCAAAGTCAATCCAAGTTTTAAACAACTATTTAAACAAAAATTGAGCTTTTGAAGCATTTGGCAAAGATTAAGCTGAGGTTTGTTCTATTTTCCTTTAGATCTTTATGTGGCAATCCTTAAACTAGCTCTGATTTCTTTTAGGTGATTAGAATAATACTCAGGATCACAACTGGTTTAACTCTTCCATTTATAACTTCTGGAGGATTTGCAGTCATTTCCACTGTGGCTTAGTAGCACTGAAATATTTTACGATAGCAAAGAGTTTCATAAGGACAGATAGTTCGGAATATTCTCTTTTTTTGCCCTTTAGAGACTCCCAGCATGCCAAGTTGCCATTCTCTTTCCCTGCCCCATTTTAGGCAAAACATGGTGTTCTGGCTAGATGTGGTTTTTCAATCTTGGCTCTGGCACCTCATAGCTGTGTGACCTTGGGCGAATTTCATCATTTGAAATTTGGTCTTCTCATGTGCAGAACTGTGATAATGGTTCCCGCCTCACGCTTTTGTCGTGTTGATGAAATGAACTGATGTAGGAAAGCTCTTTGTGAATCATAAGTCACTCCACAAATTTGAGGCATTAATATTATTATCAATATCATCCCAGTTAGATTTCTGACATTAGCATAAATTCTAAAAAGCATTTCCCCAGCATTAAAGTAAAAGACAAGCCCCAAACTGTTTATGTAACATAATCATGTATTTATTTTTTTAGTGATAGGACAAAACTGATCATTTTGAGGAAATTTGTAATGAGTGGCCCTGTACAACATTTGATAATTTTATCTTATTACTTATGACAAATTACTTGAGCTGACATATGTTTGAAAACCATGTTTTTGAGTTCTAATTCATTTCTTTTTATTTTTCCTATTAGAAACCAGTTTGTTACGAGAGGTCTCCTTTCAAGCAGCTCTGTTTGCTGCATGCTTAATTATCTCTGCCTGTGCAAGGTAATTCAGATTTTATGTTCATGCAGTTGTGTTTCATAATTAATGAAGCTGTAATTGATTGATGATTTCCTTACCTTGTTCCGCAAAACATTTTAGGTAGCTCTGTGGTTAAGATCTGTTCATTTGTCTGTCCATTGCCTTTTTATCTATCACCTCCCTCCTCCCATTATCTCACAAGACATACCAAAGACAGTGGATCTTGCTAGAAATTGGATTTTTACCATGCATTGGCCTTTGTTTAAATCCTCAGTGACTCCCTGTTACAGATACAGTCTAAGTAACCCTACTTGGAGTTCAAGGGCATGTGAAGTCCCCACAATGGAGTCCCATTGGGACTCCATCTTTCCCATTATATTTGTATATCCTCACATAAAATGTCTCCTCAGCATCTCAGAGGACATAACGCTCTTGCCTGGTTATAGGCACGTTTCTGTTCTACCCTCTGTCCAGCGTGTCCTTCCTATTCTATTCTTGCCCAAGTCTCCAGGGCAGTGATCAAGTCCCATCTGTGCTAAACCCACCTGTGCCTCAGAACCTTTGCGCTTGCTATTCTGCCTGCTACAGTCTTTTTTTTTCTGGAGAAACAATAACTTGTGCCCTTAATTCTTTCTGGAATCTGTCCAAATGTCACAAACATTGTCAGAAAGCCCTTCCCTGACAACCCTGTATAAATAGAATACCATTCTCTATCACACACATCTCACTTGGCTTTTCTTCGGAGCCTTTATCACCACCTGACCTATTATGTGTTCACTTGTTTAAATGCTAATGATCCGTCTCTCCCTACAAGATTGCAAACTCCTTGAGAACAGAGACATTGTGCTAGGGCCTCATCGATATTTGTTGAAACAATGAAACAGGGATGAATGGTACCTCCTGGGGTCTTTGTGGTCCTTGAACTCCAGTCACTAAGTGCTGCTTCCTCTCAAGTCCCTCCTGTTGATGATCAAGTATCTCACATCCCATGGACCACTTGGGGGAGTTGTATTTTTAAATACGAAGCCCTGGATCCCATCCCTTGAGATACCACTTTAGATCGAGTGAGAATCCATACTTTAAAACAGCTTCCCAGATAATTATGAGGTTTGAGAAGCATTTTTAGATCATAATGGGACCAGAAGAACACAAAGGGGTTGGGGGGAGTCCTGTAGTTAAAAATACATTTGCAAAATTCTGCATTATATATCCCAAGTTGGAGGATCACAATGTGTATTAGCATAATAAAGTCTCAGTGAAATAATGTGGTGAAGAAACCTGTTTAGCTTTATTTAACTTAGCTTTTCCCAGACTTTGCTGATCATGGAAACTTTTCTTTATTTCACAGGACTATTAATAAAGTGTTTCTCTTAAGTTAATTTCTGTAGAAACTCCTCCCTTAAGAGGAGAAATTGACTCCCCATCACTTGAGTTTGAGCTACCTTTGGAAACTTGCTTCCAAGCAGTAGGGTTTGGAAAGAGGGGGAAAAGGAAGCTTTTCAGTTGAGAAAACTGACAAATGGTACCTCAGATGATGAAGGTCAACATCAAAAGGGATGAGTTATGTTGATGGAATGTACCCTTGATATGATGAGAATGGCACTCCACCTCTAGGGTCTTCTGAACCCCAGTCTAACCATGAGAAAAACCCAACTTGAGGGACACTCTCCACATTATCTGACCAGTACTCCTCAAAACCGTCAAGGTCATCAAAACCAAGGAGAGTCTGAGAGGTCGTCACAGCCCAAAGGAACCTAAGGAGACATAATGACTAAATGTCATGTGATATCCTACGTGGGATGCTGGAAAATGGATCAATTAGGGAAAAACTGTAAAGTTCAAATGAAGTGTGGAGTTGAGTTATTAGTGATGCACCGATGTTGGTTCCTTATAATTATGGCAAAGGTACCATGTACTGTAAGATGCTAATAACAGAGGAAGATGGATGTGGGGTATGTGAGAACCCTTTGTATTCTTTTTTGCAATTTCTCTGTATATCTAAAGTTGTTCTAAAGTAAAAAGTGTAGTTAAGTAAATAACTGATTTTTTAAAAAAGAACTATTCCTATGGGCAACAGCATGGATGAACCTCATGGATATTATATAAGTGAAAGATGACAACAGAGTCTATATCATTGTCAAGAAAAGGCAAAACCAATCAGTTACTATGGATGTAAGAACAGTGGTTAATTTGGGGGGATAAAGTGGGAAAGATCAACAAAGGAAACCTTATGGGGTGCTGGAAATATTTTATTTCTTGCTTTGGGTGATTACGAGGGTTTTTATTTTTAAAAAGCCCAAAATGTGTACTTTATATGCTTTAGTGTACATTTGCTAAAGCTCAATTTTTAAGTTTTTAAAATGCCTATGAGGAGATGTCTGAGAAGATATTTGGCAGAATTTAATAATGAATGCTTCAGGGTGGTGGGAGTTTTTTGGTGACATTTTCCTTTTGCCTTTATATTTATTTGCAATCTCTTTCAATATTCATATTTTGAGCACAAAAGCTATAAAAATATTATTCTTCAAAAAGAAGAAAATCCACCGTGTGATACAATCATCCATCAGATTGACAAAAACCCAAAAGTTTAACACCCTCTTTTGTCAAGGTTATGAAGCAGTGGGCATGCAAAGTTTCTCTCTTTTTTTTTTCTAGAAGTTTTATACTTTTGTGGTTTACATTTCAGTCTATGACTCATTTTGAGTTAAATTTTATGTTAAGGTGTGATGTCTTTGTATAGGTTCGTTTTTCTGCATGTGTCTAAACAATTATTTTGACACCATTTGTTGAAAATAATGGTGTGCTTTTTCCATTGCATTGCTTTTGCACCTCTGTTAAAAAATCACTTAACTTGTATCTGTATGGGTCTATTTCTGGAATTTCTATTCTTTTCCATTGATCTATATCTCTATCCTTTTGTCAATACTGCACTATCTCTATTACTGTAGTTTTATAGTAAATCCTAAAATCATCCATCTATGGTAAATCTAAAAGAACATCTCATGTGTTGGAAATATACAATTAGTTTGCTAAGCCTGAGCAATCCTGCTGTTTCAGATGGTTTCTGGGAGGAATCATAGCCAGTGTCTTCACATGCTCCTTGGTGATAACCATTGCTTGTAAGTAATCGTTTCCCAAACTACTGCTCTGATTCCTGTATTTCATTCCAGTTTTGGGCATTTAAAAATACTTTCTCTTTCTCCTCCAAGATGTCGTCAAGTCATTCCTTCTCAGCCTTGCCAACTGTTTCAGAGCCACCACCTGCACTTGGTAAGTGTCGCCTGTGTTAGCATCATTTGTACAAAGACGACCACAGTCTGATATCTGAGAATGCTTTCTGCTGAGTAACGGATGGCAGAGACTATGTACAAGAAAGGTCCTGATTATTTGTCCTGAGGAATACTTTCTATTCCTGCTAAGATCTGTTAGTAGTATTAACCTGGCTCCTAAATTCCTATGCCAAAATAGATAGAATTCGTTTTTAAGGCAGCAAGACTTAGGAAATAATATGAATTTTCCATTTTTACATAGTTTTTCAAGGGCCCTTATAGATTCATAGCACTATACTTCATAAATAGCTCATAATAAAAGGCTTTTATCTTAGAGTTTCCCAAAGAGCTGGCAAACTGCCCGTGAAATGATCTCAGTTACAAACTGTGATTTCTCCACCATCTCTCACCCACCCACTTAACGATCCCCCTATACGCTGACTGCCATAGTTCAGCATATTTCGAAGGGTGACTGGGGTCTGGGTGACGTGCTCACAGAATCTCAAACAGCCTGCAAAACGCCATCCCCTTGCAAGATGGATGGTGTTAATTCCCCTCACTTTAATATGGCTGCCAGAGGTCGACTCCCAGAGTTTGGAGGCTGAGGTCTGTAATTCAGATTAGTTTACTGGCCTTCTCTCTTGACACTCTGTTGCCCTATTTATGAAATTTTTCTGTTAATTCTGAAATCACAGTGCGGCTTAGTGAAGACTTATTTTGTTTTGGACTCCAGCCAACATTGATTTACTGTCATGCTGAGCGATGTTTCCCTTCCTTTCCTGGCCTTCCAGGTTTCTAGGGGCGAGCATCTGGTATAGCTAAGTTTTATTTAACCTGATAGTTAGAAAATTGGGTCCTGAGGTCACCCGAGAAATCCTTATTCTTTAGTTCTTATAAATTAATGATATTTGTCTAAAACTCTTCTAAGATACCCACTTCTCTCCCTCTAGCTACCGGGCTGTGCACAGGCATATCTCACACGAGGTTAACCACAGATTTGCACATGTGCTCAGCTTTTTAGGCTGAGATGTCGCACCGGTCAGGACTGGACTAACCTATAATGTCTGAACAAAAGACTTTCATCCAAAGAGTCAGTTTGTAACCCAACTTTCAGAAGTGTCAGATGGTGAGAATAGTAGAAATCTGTTTTCTTTGGGTTTTAAGATGAATATGTACAATTAATCAGAACGACAAGTGTCATCTTTTTAGGAAGCTTAATGAGGGTGGAGTTTCTCAAAGCACGGCACGGGGACATTTGCTCTAGAATCAACTGGGGAGCTTGTTTGAAAAGCAGAGGAATGGATCCTGATTCCAGACCTTCTGAATCCAAATTTCTGAGGAGGTCTTTATTATTAATAACCTCCCCAGGAAATTCTTTGCACATTAACTATGAAAGTCTTGGAAAGATGGTTTGTAAAGCCTTTACCCCTTGATCTCTAAAGTGGCATCGCTTAGCCTACTCAATCTTAATTATTGAGAGTTGACGATGTGTTCTGTGCTGCACTGGGTGTCCAGTAATGCTCAGCAGACATTTATGGAGTCTCTGCTAAGGACCAGGCACTGTCATTAAGTGCCAGGCTTACAATGCCAAGGCCTCGAGATTTCAGAGTATAATTAGAGGGACATGTAAAGGGCGAGGTGAAGTTACGTTTTGAACGCGATAAGTGCAAGTACAGCGTTAGCACAGAGGTTATAGCATCACCAGGAATGATGTTTGGCTAGACCAGGAGCGGTAAGGAGGGTGGGCGGGGAAGGCAGGCTGGATAAGCCAGTATCTGACCTGCAGGTGTTGTGTCACCTGTTGCTTTAAGGGCATCTCCCACTGTTCTGTGCTCCTCTTAAAAGAAATTAGACCAAGACCAGGATGATATTTCCATCTTAAACGCTCTCAGCTACAGCCTCATTTATGGAAAAAGATTTCTTCTTTGATTACTTGTGTACATACTTCAACTTGTTTTTCTCTCGTTTCCTCTCCATTTTTTCCCGTTTCCTGCCCACCGACCTCATATACACACACTCTTGCATTCAGGATCTGTGAAAACAAGGACTATTGACTTCATTTCTGTATCCAATGCCTTGAAAATAGTAGGTACTCTATAAATATTCATTGAATTGAATGTATTTTCTGTCTCTTTTCTAAGTACTTCCTTTAGAGCCAAGAGCTCTGCTCCTGTACATTAAAGATTTTGCAACCCTCTTCCTCATATATAAACATATCCAGAAACCAATAAGCCAAAGACATGGTTACTGACAAGAACGACTCATAGGTCTCCTCCAATAACCAAGGAGGAGAAACTACGGGAATTGCAGACAAGCACTGAATTCAGTTCAACAAACATTACGGAGCAGCCCTCCCACACCGGTCCGGCGCTGCACATAGTTAGATTAGATAAGATACCTGCTCTTTAGCACTTTATAGTTCTCAAATCACATCCCTTTTCATACCATCATGCAATGCTTACTCAACCACCTTCTTGGTTAAATATAAAGTCTTCAAGTTTGGGGACTGTCTATACTGCTCACCGTTGGTTTGAAGGTCCCTTTCAAATGAAGGTCATCCGAGGTACCCCATGTCGCCAATAACGTGTTAGCATCAGAAGTGTCCATTTTGCATTTATGACATCATAGTAGCAAAATGGGCAACATCTCTTTTCTCTACTTCTCCATGAAGAAATATATATTTATACAGTTGGTGAATGAACGAATCAACTTTAGAGAGTAGAAATATGGGGAAAACGCACTTGTTTTGGGGGGAGAGAAAAAAGACAATATAAAATAGTAGTTAACTAAGTACCAAGCTGGGATTAGGGACAAAAACTTCTGTAGCCTGTCCCAGGAAGGGGAGAGCACTGAGAACTGGTAGGAGGAAAAGGAGCTGGGGCGCCACTGTCCTAGTTTTGATTATTCAAGGTAGTTGTGTTTGTGTGTGTGTGTGCGTGTGGTCATGCAGTAATTCAAGCAGATACTGCACTTTCTCATGTATGTGGGTCGATTATGCATTTCTTTCCTCCTTTCTCTGACCTAGGTTTTGCCAAAATTTGACAACCATTCAGGAGAGCCTCTGATGAATGTCTTCAATCTGAATATCTGGAAATTGTCCCATTTGTAGTCTGCTTGGAATCAACTGTTTTATTGGAAAGAGT